GTATTGGGGGGATGGGCTTGCGCGTCTTTGGAATCCGCCATTCGATTTCCTTCCGCTCGTGGTGAGGAAGATTCAGGCCGAGGACAGAAAGAGGGTGCTGATAGCCCCACACTGGCCAGCGCAAGCATGGTACGCGCGCTTGCGCGGGCTGGCAGAGGAGCTCATCGTGCTTCGCCCTTCCGACCACGGCCCCCCGTTGCTTCAAAGCTCGCGCCCAGTGAACGCCGCATGGGAATTAGTGTTGGCAAGGATAGGGTTGCGCAGCTGTGGACGGCGGGGATCCGGGATGCGGTGCTGGCAAGGACGGGGATGGAAGGGGAGACGGGGGGTGCAGAGGTGGCGGCGGAGCTGCTGGTGTCGCATGGGTGGAAGGCGCAGACGTGGGCAAACAGGAGCAGTCAGATTAAAAAGTGGTTGGTTTTCTGTGATCAAGACGGTCGAGATCCGCTGCCTGCAAACGAAGGGCACGTGCTCGCTTTCCTGGGTTACATGTACCTGGAGGGAAGGGTAGGTCCAAGCTCGGTTCGCAATTATATCAGCGCTGTCTCCCGTTTCCATGAGACTCAAGGGCTACCCTCTCCGACGCGTTCCCCGCTAGTGTCTGCCATGGGTACTGCGTACATGAACAAGACCGATCGAGACCGACCTGAAGCGCAAAAACGAATCGGGATTAGTGCCGCAATCGCGATGCGTGTGGCAGAGTTTGGCTAGGGCACCGAAGTCGTTGAGGAAGTGGGCTCCTGCGCTATGGTCGTTTTCGCATTTATTTTTCAATGCAGGTCAATTCCCGTGGCACACGTGGCAGCAGAAGACATTGATGTCACGGATGCTAGCGTGGATGTGGCCCTGACGCATCGCAAAGCGAAGTCTTATCAACGCCCTCTGCGACTCTCCTACCGTCGCAATCCCGAATGAGATGCTCCCGGGCTGTTGATGCTCAGGTGGAAGACACAGCGACCGCACAATGCTGGTTTCTTCAACCTCCGAGCTGGAACGCGCCTTGGGACTGCGAATTTGAACGCCGCCATGTCAATGTCGCTGCTGCGTGTTGGCGCTGTTCCGCCAAAGGGGTTCTTTTATTCGTCACACAGCGCACGAATCGGGGCGTACAATGAGCTTTTAGGACTCGGATTCACAGACGCTTGGATCATGAATCGTTTGGACTGGGTATCTATGGAGATGCTACAGGTCTACTTTGATAGTAGTATTTCTGTCACCGCCGCGTCGCGCCTTATCTTCGCGCATATGCTGCCCCAAGGCCAAGCAGTCTAGCACGCCTCCGTCTCCGCATCGCTCGCACACTCGGCTCCGCTTTGCGCTCCGCGTCTGTATACACTTGTGTATGCGGGTGAAGCTGTTCAGAGAGTAGCGAGTGACATGCCGACACCTGGCATTCGACCGAGCGTGCACTGTCCTACATATCGCCGACGGCCGGGTGAGAGTCTCGTGACTTCTCGGCTATGTCTATTTCCCTTTTGCCCACCCATCCCCGTCAGGACGCCCTTCCTTGGGCTTCCCTCACATGTCTATTCTCTGATATTGTTCTTTCTTTGTTTACTTTTCGATAGATAGTCAAGAGTACTCTCGCTACCGCTGATATCTCGGGTGCGCGGGAGCTCCAACCGTAAACGACCATCTATCTTCATACATCAACGAGTTGACACTCACTAGAATCGACAAGCAAATGCTTTACCTGTGGTGATGGCCTTCTGGTTTCAAAAAAACATAACTGAAATGGAGAGTTGTGTTGTCTAGAAAAAATAAAACAACTTTGTCCTCATACAGTATGAGGACTAACGGTCCGATAGACACTAGAAGATGCTACATGTGGCGGCTTTTCTGCAAGGTGATTATTATTTTCCTTGCCAGAGCACTAGCACATCGATAACATCGAGAGCGGTAATTCGCTGTACGAAAAATGTAGAAAACTGAAAATACGGCAAGCTTATGCTTGTCATTTCCGTGTCTTTTTTCATTGCAAGGGCATCTCAGAGAAAGGAACTCTTCCAAAAACATATCTTGACAATTGTACGCAATTTGAAGGCTGCCATCGTTCAAGAGAGATGGACTTTAGATTCCTCCTTTACGATCATGGGCCAGATGAAGAATTCCTCGCTTGAAGGAGGCACTGCGACGATAATCTCGAGTCTATGAAGACCAAAGAGCAAACTCTACATCAGGCAACTATGATATGGGCTTTGAAAATGCCAGTTTCATTTGAAATCGCAAGGAGAACTCTTCCTCTATCGTTCATGCGCAAAATGAAACTTCTAAATCAAAACTGCTAGAGTTATCAGCCAGTGTTGATCTCGTAATGCAGAGCTCTCCAACCGATTCGCCTGCCAGCCCTAAACTGATCTTCTTACCAATTGCTTGCCTGCGCAAAGATCCCAGAGACATCTGAACTGCACCAATCAGTTTGTGTTCTGTGATTGTTCTATGAGACCTCAGTTCTATCCTCAAAGGAGTATCTTCGCAATTCCCACCACGCATTGATGTACGAATTACAGCTCGATGCAGCAGGTCCTCCGCAAATGGTGCCCGCTCGCCCTTTTTCTTGGCCTTGGAGCGGAATATAGGAGCCCATTCATTATTCGGCCGTCGTCTGTATATCGTGAGGTATGGTTTGTTCAACAGCATACCAAGTATAGAAGTGTTTCGAAATTTGCAATCACCGAGGAAGACCTCATGATCTCTTCGAGACTTTTCAAATAGTTCTCCAATGACTGTCACTGTCCCTGTTTCTTTGAGCTGAACGTTTTCCAGTTCGATAGTCTTTCCGTTGTATCCTTCTCTTAAGATATCCATGACAGTACATAGACAGGACCCTATCACTTCTTGCTTCTCAAGATCTTGAGTTTTCGAGTCTCGATCATAAATTGTCACCTGCAGACGTAGACTTTTCCGAGTTTCGGGTGGGAGCTGAAAGCTGCGGACCCATTTGGGATTCAAGACATCCCAAATTGTCTCGGTCCTTCCTGTCAAGTTTTGCGTAGATACACAATGGGAAGTTAGATATACTGTACACAGCCTCTGGCAATCGTAAACGATCATCCCAGTCCTTCAAATAAAGAAAGAAACCGTGTCTGTTCTTTTGCGACGAAACGCGGGAAATCTGGAATAGAGTGTTCAGAAACACTTACCGAGTTCGACCCATTTACGATTGTCCCATGTTTCCAAAAGGGCGAAAGGGTCGCTCAGCGAAAAGACATCCATATTCGCAAGATTCTTTGCCTCCACTTGTATCTCCAGATGGGAACCAATTGCCATTTCATCCATTCCGATGTGTTCCTCATCTGAATTCCGTTGAGGACGGCGCGATATCTTGTGCTCGGAATTCATTGACTCGTTTATAAAAAAGCGCAGAAACCTCTTCAGTGTTTCGAAATAGCAGCGAAGGACAAACCTCTCACTCAAAATCCTACTTAGGAAGCAAGGTCCAGGGATTGTTCAAACTTCAGCACCAGAGATTCTTTCAGGTCAGGGTTGCACTTTTTAAATTTGTTTAGCTCTTTTTGCGCAACAGGAGTTGAAAGTGTGGAATTTCTGTGAACGATTTTCTTTCTGGAGAAATTGCTCCGCATTTGGAGATAAGTATACTATACTGGTGGGAATTTGGAACGAGAATTATATGAAAATTTGTTGAAAGTGCATGTTCTCTTGCTGCATGAAAGTTGATACTTGCATCGTGCACTTAATGTGGATACATAACCGGAGCTTCTTCTTCCGAAAATAATCCTGTGCGCAAGAATTCAGTCTGGCACCGCTCCGGGTATACAGTATAGATCGCCATATAATACAAAACACTTCTATTCACAAGTCCGTCAAGACTCTTCCGCATCATGAGGAATAGCTGTGTTTAGATTGGGGATACACTCGGTGTGCGCTATGTAAGTACTGTAAATCTCCACAGACTACAGTATCTGAATCGAGCTGTTAGCAACATCGCCTTTCAGAACGCATAGTGCGCAGCACAAAACGGGGCTATTTCTTTGACGGTTACTAGTTCAAACATCCCACTCTCTTAGCATCAGAGGTATTTAAAAATTCAGGACAACGGCTAAATACCTCTGGGGCCTCTGTTCTGATGCTGACTTGATTTGATTCCCATGCGTAAGGTTGATTTCATTTCAAAGAATCCTTTTGCTACAGCACGGTTGAATAGAGCCTTTCAACTAGACTAAACAGCTCATTTGCTATTCTGGTATGGAAAAATTATGTGGAGAATAAAAGGGGAGGATCATCCACAATTGGTAAACGGAATTTTTGCAACTGTCTCAATTTGGATTATCGAATGATGAAGACAGAATGAACTTTGGTGAGGTTTGTCGTGCTGTTGGATTTGCAAATGAAGTTGTCTTCCATCGATGGCCAGGGATGCAGCTAATATCTAACATATCGGGCTTGACGGCAATCGCTGTCTTAAATGCGTCCCTGGAAATATGGCTTTTGAGTGCGGTCAGACATGGGAGATTTAAAGCATTTCGTTTGGGAAGAGTGTAGAATAGTGGATTTGGGGATCGACGGATTATGTCGCCTCAGAACGATTCAAATGGTGAAACGCAAATGACTGCTCCGTTTGATAAAATGAAGCGGCGTCCAGGATACGGCCAGCATATCTTGCCAGCTCGCTCTAGCTAGTACTTGTAGAGAGGCACCGTTCCATTTTGAGAAGAGGATTGGAAAAATATCCAGATATATGTACTGTACAGTATTGTTTTTCAGGCATATATATCCACACGCCACGTCAATGCGTAAACCCACTAATGGCTGACAAAATCATGTTTATCTTCTTCACGTGATCCGATGCCTATCAAAATACCCGAAAAACTTGTTTTAGTCCAAGCAATGTCTCGTTGTCATCAATTTCAATGCTCTGACCTCGCTCCGCTTCCCTCCTCCCTCACTTTTTTTTGCTTCATACGAAACGGCGGATGCCCTGCTAGCTCCAGCATCCTTGCATAACTTGTCCCCGATAGCTGCTGACGATTCCCTGGACATCATTTTGTAACCAACACTTGCCCTACGCTCTTTGCGATCTCCATCGTTCCCCTCCACCTCATCCACCTCATCCACCCCTTAGATCCTCCCTTGGATCCCCATCTACCCCGAAAATGAAGCGCACACGCGAAAACGGAGCACCCGAAGGCGCCATGCCGAGCGACATCGACGCCATGTCTGCCACGGCGCGTGTCTCGGCCCTGCGCGCCATCATGAAGAAGCAGGGCTTGGACGCGTACGTCGTCCCCAGCGAGGACGCGCATCTCTCCGAGTATGTCGCCGCCTGCGACGAGCGCCGCGCCTTCTTGACCTCATTCACAGGGTCTGCGGGCACGGCTCTCGTCACGGCGGAGGCGGCATACTGCTGGACGGACGGCCGCTACTTTGTACAGGCGGCAAAGCAACTCGACGCAGATGTGTTCAAGATGATGCGCACGCACGAGGATCCGGGCGTGGAGGATTGGGTCGCCGCGAATATGAAGCCCGGGTCCAAGGTTGGGATTGATGGGATGACGGTCTCGATAAATGGAATGAAGCGCTTTCGGTATGCACTCGCCGCTGCGCAGGCAAACAGCTCCATTTCGGTTGAGCCGTTGCCGAAGGATGTGCCGAATCTTGTCGATCAGATCTGGGCGTCTGCTCGTCCAGCGGCTCCTGCTAGCAAGATCGTTGTGCACCCGGTTGAGTATGCCGGTGTGTCGGCAAAGGATAAGTTGATCAACGTTCGAACAACCATGCAGCAAAAGGGGGCGTCCATGTTGATTGTGTCCGCTCTGGATGAAGTTGCCTGGCTGCTCAACCTGCGCGGTGGAGATGTGAACTACAATCCAGTTTTTTGGGCGTATGTTACTATTACAGCATCGTCGGCGACATTATATGTGAACAACACTCGCTTCGGAGAGGGAGTTGACGAGCAATTGAAGGAGAGTGATGTTACTGTCTCATCATATGATTCGCTACTGCCCGATTTGTCGCAAGCATGCTGGGATGACACTTCTCGTGTCTGGATGGATCCGAACAACTGCAACTATGCGATCCTCGATTGCATCCAGAAATGCGCACAAGGGGTGCAACTGATCAAAAAGCAGGGTCCCATCGCACTAGCCAAGGCGAAGAAATGCGGAGTGGAACTGACCGGTGTCCGTTCCTCGCACATCCGCGACGGGGTGGCACTGAGCAAGTTTCTCTGCTGGCTGGAGAACGAGGTGGCCAACCTAGGGCACGAACCGACGGAAATAAACGCATCGGACAAGCTGGACGGTTTGCGATCGGAGCAGGATTTGTTTGTGTCGCTATCATTCCCGACGATTTCAAGCGCAGGGGCCAATGGTGCAGTGGTCCATTACCGGGCGGAGGCGGCCACAGCTGCCAAGATCACGAAGAACGACGTCTACTTGGTAGATTCGGGTGGACAATTTCGTGATGGAACGACGGACGTGACGCGGACGATGCATTTTGGAGTGCCAACGCCATGGCAGAAGGAATGCTTCACGCGCGTGCTTCAGGGCCATATCGCAATCGATCGGGCGATTTTTCCCAAGGGAACGACGGGACATGTGTTGGATGCGTTTGCTCGGGAGCCGTTGTGGAAAGTGGGAATGGATTACAAGCACGGGACTGGGCATGGGGTGGGCAGTCATCTGAACGTGCACGAGGGACCGCATGTGTTGTCGTTCAAATCACAAGCGTTAGGCACGGCGCTCGAGCCTGGGTTTCTGACGAGTAACGAGCCTGGTTATTACGAGGAGGGTGGGTTTGGGATTCGGATTGAGAACGTATGCATTGTGCGGGAGGCGGACGTGAAAGGGCCGCCAGGTGGGAGTGAGAAACCGTTCTACGGGATGGAACGGGTGACGATGACGCCGATACAGAAGAAGATGATCGATGTTGGGTTGCTAAACGAGAAGGAGAGGAGCTGGGTGGACGAGTACCACAAGGAGTGCTTTGAGAAGTTGGAACCGTTGTTGAAGGACGACGCAGAAACGTTGGCGTGGCTGAAGAAGGAGACAACCCCCCTCGTTTCATGAGAAGTCCTTGGAAATGTACTGTAGTCGATGTGGCGCAAATACGTGCAAGTGTGAGTAAAGTGCACGCGAGCACGGTGAATAAACGCAAGCAGGGTGGGCACGCGTAAAAACGTTGCAAGAACGCATGCAGCGCGTCTAGAGGATGGTATGTAAAGTGAGATGAGGGTAAGCAGGAGGGGCACATTTAAAGCGAGTACTGTAGGTGATTAAATTTGGCACTGAGGGCAAGGTCATAGAAGTCGGTGTGTTTGAAGTAGGGCCAGATGCAGTGGACATTGTCGATGTGCCTCCACCGAGGGCGAAGACCGGGTTCCTTCCGAATGGAAGGGGAAACACTCGGGCCATATCCCCGCCTGGGCTCTTTGCGCATGCGCTAACTAGAGATAAATTTACCTCCGCCAGGGAGATTGTGAACAAAGAATATTCCGCGCCAGCGTTGCACGCTCTACCGTGCAAACTGATTGGCTGTCCTTATGTAGACGTGCGACAATCGCTGAACTGCCCCCGCAAAACATACCTTTTTCGACACGTCTTTTGAGATGCGGGGCTGCGCATCACGCCACTCTGCTCCTCGCCTTGCTGGCGCCCATCCCTGACTTCGCGACAACGATGCCAGTCTGCCCAGCTGTTGGTGGCAGCATCGGGTCCCTACCCTGCGCTTTATATGCGTAGGGGTGCCCCATCGCTTGCCAATTTGAGGTGACCGCCTCCAGCAACTCTCCCAACCCGGGCACAACACCTAACACACAGCCTACAAAAGGACAAAGACAGCCGTAAGTTTTGCCCGCCCACGCATCTCAACATGGCCTTAGAAAAGCAAAGCCAATCCGCAATCCAAATAATCCATTAGTAAGCATTCCACATTTCCTGGCGTCCTACTATCACCACGTCTATCACACTAACCTTCCACCCACTACCTCTACCACCAGTAATGATGTATACAACATTGACGAGTCCCCCCACGAGCCCGTAGGCGGCGCCGCTCGCTTCATCTCTGCCGTCCGGCACCAGCTCTCCGCGCACCATACCTCGCTTGTGCTCTTCTCCGGGGATGCATTCTCGCCGGCCCCTCTCACTCCGCTGACGGAAGGCGCCGAAATGCCGCCGATTCTGAATGCCACTGAAGTGGACGTCGCGTGCTTGGGGAACCATGAGCTAGACAGAGGTCTAGACGTCATGAAGGCGCGCATAGCGGAGACTAATTTTCCCTGGCTGTGCTCCAATGTTAAGGAGGTGGAGACGGGCGTCCCGTTGGGAGGCGTCAGGGAATGGTGGGTGCTGGACAAGGGGGGCTACCGGTTCGGCTTCATGGGGCTCGCCGGGTTTGACTGGCTGAGCGCCTTGGATAAGGTCGACCCGGAGGACGTTTTGTATGAGGACGTTGTCAAGTGCGCAGATCGCATTGCCACGGTGCTCAGGGAGAAGAGGTGTGATTTTGTCGTTGCTCTCACGCATATGAGACAGCCGGATGATGATAGGCTCGCGATGGAGGCGAGAGATGTGGATATCGTGCTCGGGGGGCATGACCACGTGCTTTGTACCAAGGTTGTTAACGGGCGCTTTATCGTCAAGTCCGGGACTGACTTTAAGGTATGTAAGTATTTGGGAAGGGTGGGAGCACGGTTTACGATGCATGTCCTGTCTGTTGTAGGTTCTGAATGACTGACATTTTGCGGTTTCTCTGGTTTGCATGTTTTTTTTTGTTGGAGGGACAGAATTTTTCAACCATCGAGATTGACGTGAGCTCTGACTGCCGGCTGGTGGCCCGTGAACCGAAACATGTGGACGTGTCTTCCGAGTATGCGGAGGATCCCATTTTTGCGAAGTTTGTTGCTGAGAAACTCGAGTTGCTCGGTCCAGACTTCAAACACGCGTTAGCAGTGTCAACGGTTGACTTGGATGGGCGCTTTGTGTCCATTCGAACGAAAGAAACCGCTTTGGGAAACTCTGTGGCCGATGCACGTAAGTTGGTACTTATTCAAGCGCATCTCGTTTTTCATGATTGTTCAACTTGATGCGTTTGCGAGATGCGTGAAGCTGAGAAGGAAGCCCTTCATACTGACAATAATTTAATTTCACTCTTTGTTCTCACACTTGTTGGGATTTCCACGTCCTTTTGCTCCTCCAACCTCCTTGCACTTCTGTTCTGCAGTGGCATTTTACATGGATACAAAGATTGCTCTGATCAATGCGGGGAGCTTTCGATCCGATTGTGTTGAGCCTCCTGGAAAGATAACACTACAGACAATCAATGCCATTCTTCCGTTTCAAGATGTAGCAGTCGTCGTTGAGTACACTGGACGAGAACTCTTAGGTATATTCGAGAATTCTGTCAGTCAGTATCCGCTTCTCGATGGCAGGTTTCTGCAAGTCAGCGGAGTGTCTTTCCAGTTTGACCCAAGGCTTCCTGCCGGTGAGAGGATACATCAAACTGATGTGGTTTGCAAAGAGGATGATGACACTCTCAGAGGGCTAGATGAGGATCGCTTGTATCGAGTTGCCGTCAAGAGCTTTATTCATATGGGGAAAGATGGCTATCCGGAAGGATCGCTATCATCGATCATCCAACATTGCGACACACCCATTGCAACAATGGTTTCGGAATATCTCAATGAGCTTCACACGATATCCCCAAAATGTGAGCGCAGGGTAGTCTGCGTATCCCCTGAAAAAGAACTCCTGAAGTCTTACGATTATGCGATTAACTCAGAGCAAGCTAGAGAGACTATGTCTCGCCCAGAAAATCCCAGCGCTCTGCCTTTTTCGCAAACCTGAAGATTCTTTTTCAATCACAAGGCTTTATCACTTCTTGGGGCAGAGGTAGGAAGAACTCTACGAGGTAGGAGAACAGAAAAGCGCAGTTTGGCGACACCGCAGGAGTCGTCGAGTCTGGAAATGTTCTGTTGGAGAAAAGTGCAAGAGTTGCTGTCTGAAGCTCACCGTGTGGCCAGACAAGGCCTCTTCGGTCTTCAATCATGGACAGTGAAGTATGCTAGTGTGAGAAAAAGTAGGATCAGTTTATCACCTTTTGTCTCCCAAAAGAGTTCAACAATGTAAATTAATTTTACACAATCAGAAAGTTCGAATCGTTGCGTAAGACAAAGATGATGACCTCGTTCCTATTCTTCAAAACGTGGCACAGGGTTTCTTTTTCTTGCTGACCGCCTGACCGGGGTTGCTTGAGGCGGCGGATCCTTATGAGCCTTTTTCTTGATGGAACCCGTTCGAGATGCATGTCGAACAGAGCTGTTCTCATTAGCTGCACCATGAGTTTCGCCTTTCGCAGAAGACCTCCCCTTCGTAGGCAATGGTTCAACCTCTTTGATGTCATCCGTCGGCAATACGCAAGTGGTTGATGCCTTGCGTCGTGAAGACTTCCGAACCGGAGTGATTAGGTCAATCTCGGGCACAACTCTGTCGTCTCCTCCCTTGGTGGGCGTGAAAGGCGTTTGAGTAGTCTCAAGTGATGTTTTGTGACCTTTTCCAGAAGAATCAGCATGGGGGTCCGCAACAAGGTTTCCGTTTGAATCGAGCCCATGGGCTATTACCAAGTCAATCAGCTCCGCCTTCTTGATTCTGGGCGGAACTTCAATTTGATGCTGCTTCATAAACTGGCGAATCTCTTTCACAGTTCGACTCTCATAATCCTCTCTTGTAGTAGAAGGACCTGACTCCTCTACCCTCTCTAGCCTATCCATGGTCTCAGAAAGGAATGTATTCTCAGAACCGTCCACTTCCCTAGATTGTGTCTTGGTCACCAGCTTGGGCCCCTCGATCGCCTTCTTGTCAGCTTCATTCTCAGTCGGGGTTTCGCATACTTCAACATTACTTGATGCAATGGAATTCTTCGTAGACATGTGTTTTTCTAACCTCTCAATCAGTGTATCTTTCTTGCCGCTTGTGTCTAGGCCGAAGCTCTTAAGATTCTTTTTGAGAACGAAGTAGTTCATTTGGCGGAACTTCTCCATCTCCTCTGGTTTTTCTGAACTCTCTTCGCCCATTCCTGAAGCAATCGTAGGGGCCCCTCTAGGAGATGTTTGTTCGTCTTCATTCATGTTTGTGATAGAGGTTTCCAGATCCGCCGAATTTGTAGACGAACTAACGGGTATCTCAATTTCCCGAGCCTGCGGAGCTAGATGTCCAGTCGAATCGTTCAGCACCTCAGCTTCTCTTAGCGGGCACTCGGTACTTTCATTGGCCGTTGATCCAGTTGAGAGCGATTCAGACTCTTCGTCCCCGCAGTCGATTGTTCCCTCCGATTCGCTCGCGGTATCTAGATCTTCAGGATCAAAGTCCAGGGTCACTGGTCCACATGTGACAGGAGATTCTTTCGAGGAGGCACCTCCAATAGAGAACCTATCTGTTACGGCTTTCGCTGCACCAAGAACAGCACCGAAAAGAGAACGCCGCCAGGGAGAAGATGAAATCTCGACTTCGTCTCCATTCTTTTCACTAAGACCATCATCGACCGAATTCTGCACCGCAAGATTCGGTGTACCTGAAGAGAGAGGATGAGGAACCCTCGGCATGGATGCGATATTGTATTCTTCGTTACTGTCCTCACTACTGCTGGAGCTCTGCGCAGAGGATTCCAGTGAAAACGAAGAGAGAGGGTTTTGGTTTAGCCGTCTCTTGCTTCCGCCTGTACCAGAAGAAGCTGTAAAACAATTGTCTTCTGCAGATGATTCCAAACTAGAGCGGGATGAAATATAATTAGCAGAAACGTTTCTCTCGGGGGTTAAGACCCTGTCTGGCTCAAAGTGAGAATATGTCTTGCCATCATCCATCGAAGAATGCTTCTCGGGAGCGTTCCTTCCAACGTTACTTCCTTGAGCAGCTGGATAAAAGAATTTGCCCAGCTGCTGCAGTCTAGTAGAAGGGGGCGGTCCTTGCTTTTGACCGAAAGACACTTTCTCTTCAGACAACTTAGATTTTGGGGAACCCGATGGGATTGCAATTGTATTCGGTGTGCAATTCTCGCTTTCACGCATTGGAATTCGTGACTTCGACTTCACTGGGACTGGAGAGTAATGCGGTCCTTGACCAAGCTCTGCATTGCTAAATAGGACGGAGCGGCTACCCGGGCGGCCAGCTGACTGGATCTTCTCGGCGTTTTTTAGGTTGCGACCTTCCCACCTCATGGGAGTGGATGGTAATCCGCGGCTTAAGCGGTCGAAAGCCGTTTCCCGCCGCAAATTCACTGGATTGTTTGTGGATGACCCCTGGGTTATGTGGTTTTCCTCTGATTGCAATCGATTTCTGATCGGTTTATGCTCTAGCACTTGTGAAGTGATAGGGTTCCCGTTAGATCGCGGCCATCGCGAGAATGAACGTGTGGCTCCGCCGACGCTTCTCACTTTCTGCTGAGCCTTGTGGTTTGAAATCTCGTTCGCAGGCGTGTTCGGGTTATCTTTACTCTTCACCGACTCTACATCATGGACGATATTTTCAGTGCTTTCCAGAGATTCATCCTCAGATTCCTCAGGATCTGTAAGAAGCTCTCCTTCATCGCTTTCGGATGGATCAGGTAAGTTAATGCGTCTTGTAAGTCCTTGTCCCTCCGTCTTCTTCTCTGAGCTATGACGGGAAGTTTCATTCTGCAGAAGAGCTGAAACTTTTTCGGAAGGAGTCTCTAAGACCGAGCTCGGGAACAGTTTTGTGTTGGTGCTGGCCACAATGAACATATTTCCCTCTCTGGCTAGAACTAGTGAGGTGCGCCGTATCGCAGCGCATGATGGGCTGTTCGTATCTCTTTTAGCAGGTGTTGGTTTGTCTTGTCTTCCACCTGCAGCAGGAGATAGAGTTATCTCCGTGCCAAAGTGTCTCTTGGCAATGAAAAACTGGTTTCCACTTTGTAGAAATACCTTCTGTCCTTTGTGTAAGGCTCCAATGCCAGGGACCACGGTATTGGCGTTGTCCGCCAGCTGTTCCAGGGAAAAGCAGTGAGAATCCAGGAGGACGAGTGCTTGCATCTCTGCAACGCCTTCGGACCGGATTTGAATGTCACAGTCCTTGTGAGATCCGAAAATACACCAATTTCTTTGGTCGCATTGCCACTTCATGCCGCGCTGCCCGCTTGGCTTGTAGACAATGATTGCACCAGAGACATTTTGGTGCCTTGCAGTAGGAGTGGTCATTGCAAACGGTTATCAGTTGTGAACTTCAGAAAAGCAGTCTTGATCTCAATGTGAATGTACACACGGTTCTTCAGATGCGATTGAAGGCTGCCAGCGGATTAGTATGTGCCAAGGGTAGAGGCGGTAGTCGAACGGGATAAGCTGCCGCTTCACTCAAGACTGTTGCGACAGGAGAGTAGGCTTCTTTGCAGCGCATAGATAATAAGGCTCCAGCTGCTTGAGAGCGCTCGGCATATTGAAGGAGCCATGCAATATTCCAAGGGTCTAGTACGAGTCACACGAGCGTCGCGGGAACTGAAGGTGCCGTTGAAGGTGGTTTGAACGTTTGAATTCAAAAATCTTTTTCCTTCCGTATTTCCGCCGCGTGGGCTGCCGCGGAATGCAATTTATTTGCATTTTTGGATGTGAAATTCCACCCGCTTTTTGAACCCAGTTCATGCGTGTGAAATTGAAACCCCGCCGGGAACTAGCCCACCATCGTCATGAATAGAATGCATTGGATCACTTCCACGTTCTACACGTTGATTGGAACGTAAGTACAGAATGACCACAGTTGTACCCTTCCAGGGGTAGTGTGTTGCTCTTATCAAACTAGATTAGAATAGATCCTGTTGCATTCAGAAATATCCACGGTACAGTTTTAAAGAATGTGGTACGGTGGTATGGATTTCCGGCCGTATTATTGTACAGTATGCATACAATGCCCGTTCCAGTAGGACAGTCCATCTAACTCTCTTTATTTGAAGGATTTGAACCATAGGCACGTCAGCTTCAGTTCAGTACCTTTGTACCGTACAGTAGCCAAAAGTTCCCTTTTGGGCATTTGCTTTATTGATCTCAGTTGACGTGCAAAGATTACACCAGACGTTGGTGATAGCTATAGCTACAGTATAACTCTCCATGCGATGGTAAATACGTTCTGGTATGCCTCTAAACTGCTTCTACTGCACCGATTGATACACTGAATATGCTATACATGTCCTGCATACGTCATCACAAAACTAGCAGCACTTGCCGCAATGTGCAAACCTTTGCTTATGTGCAAATTGCCGCAACTTTCATATTGGCGTTGGTATTGTTGTGGTTCAAGCCACTGAGGCGTTAATTTGCGGACTTGAAAGTAACACTGTATCCTTCTCTTAAGCCACAGGAGCACAACTGCTTCAGCGGTGACAGGAGACACACTCTCTTTTCTGAACACTACAACTCCTTGTGAACGCTCATTGACTCCTTCGCAGTCTGGATGAAACTTCCCTTCGCATACGACAGAAATAATATTCGCAGTTCATTCCATTCCGAGATACGTCACGGCAGACCTCATGGTGTATCAGCCTAGATCGCCAAGGGCTGTCATAGGTTCAAGGGTTGGGTCGGCACGAATATTTCCTGGGAGACAGGCTGTGAAGCTAAATACTGCTGCAGCGCCCTTAACCTTTCCAATGGTACCTTCGTCAATTCTTTGGTGAACAATAGCAGCACGCTTCGAATGCACGAAGTGCGTGCTATCCATAAACAACACATCCTTTTCCGTACACGCCTGCAGAATCCGTTCAATATAGTCCGCGCTTGAGAGCTTGAGAACGGTTTGTCGACAAGCAGATGTTTCCCTGCTTTTGCGCAACGCACTGCCCAATCTGGAGCGGGAGCAGTTGGAAGTGGGATAAAAATTGCGTTTGCGGACTAAGAAAGCAGGTGTTCGTAGTCGCAATATGTAGGGATCTGGTGCACTTCAGCGAATTTCATGGCCGTTTCTTCATTGCCAGATGTTATGGCTGTAACATAGCCGACGGAACGTGCTGCAAAGCCCATGGAATAGTCTTCACGATATTTGCTGTGGGAAGCACGCCCAGCTCTAAGGATGGGTCAGACAGGTTGGCATTAAGGCGGCGGGCTTCAATGCATAACAGCGCTGTCGGACTGTTTCTTGTTTGATCTCATGCAGTCATGGAGAGAACAATGAAGTTGTGTAATAACGCAGGTGGTACAATTGAAGAGGGCGGTAACTCAAGAAATTCAGGTGAAACGCAGCAAGGTAGCAGAAGTAGATGAGCAGAATCAAGTCGTTTGATCGGAGCTGGGGTTGGTTTGCATCCAATTCACGGCTACACAATTCATTCTTGAAATGTCAGTGTGTGCTTTATTCAATGACTATTGTTGCGAATGCTATCTTATATCGACGGATATCTAGGGACAAAGGTCACGCTTGGACTGGATATGTGAAGTCTGCGATGTGAGACGGCATACGTGCGAGGATGGCAGTGGCAACTGAGGACCAGATAGAGTAGCTAATGCGTTGTTGTAGACGCAACTTCACGGTGCCATACGCACAAATGGCTGCGGTGGGAAATCTTGAGGGCAAGGGCTTCGATTCATTCATGAACGATTTCTGGAGAAAGACAGTACCCTTGGTAACCATGGTATACATAAACCAGTTTCTGAAGTTAATTCGGTTTCTTAAATTTTACCATCTTTCAGACTGGTTAGTACCTCCTCTCACTTGCTTCGCGGGAACAGACGTGACAAAACGATCCCGCCATTGTAGTATAGTGGCGGTCGCCAGCTATGAGCTAGCTCGAGGAAGAGGTAACAACCAATAGGGGGTGTCCCGCGGTAAATCGGGACTGTGGTAGAGCAAAGGGGAAGTACGTCGGCCGACTGTAAAAGCACGACGTACTGGTCGAAGTGCGGACCCGGAATGGGACCAGCACTGGAAGGGGTGGTGTAAGAACACACAAAACAGGGGTGAACCCGAGCCTAAAGACTAGTGTCAGACACGGGCGGAGCGCCGAGTAGCGAAAACTCCTAGAGGGAACGAGCGGGACAGATGTCAATAGTGCCGCCAAGACCAGAGGCTTGTCGTAGCCTGCGACTTGACAATCGTCACAATACAGTAAGAGAGAAATAGGTCGTGCGACAGTAATACGCCCAGGCTAGAGGCCAGTCTTAGCCGGCGTGGTCGCAACGACAGAGTAAAAAGGAAAACAATTGAAACGTCGAGCGACAGTAACACGCCGAGGTTAGAGGCTAGTCCTAACCCGCGTAGTCGCAAGGACGGAGGAATGGAAAAGGTAAAGTAAAGGCAATAGAAGCCAGGGAAACGTCGCAAGACAGATGCCGACAATGTCGCCTAAGTCAGAGGCTTGTCTTGACCCGCGGTGTCGCACCGTCGAAGGAAATCCGTTCCCAAAAGATCCTTGACTGTTTACTGTCATTGCCCGGCGCCGTCGCTTAAATAAGCGAGGTCGCGGGGTCTTGGACATTGTCCATCCTACGGTACTACTGTACTCTATGGTGCAATGCACTGTACTATGCCATTACTACTGTACCTTGTCATATACAACCTCCGGGCTGTACTGTATACAGTACGTCATCGGCCTGTAATGCCCACGTGTAGTTCGTCCGCCTGTAAGGCACACATGTAGTCCATCGGCTGGTAATGCCCACGTGTAGTCGCGCGCCTGTAAGGCACCCGCGGCGGCGGGTGCTGTACAAATTACAAATCTGGGCTGTGATACCACACGGCCCCCCGCCCAAACCGAAGCCGTCCCGGCGCTGCACTTGATTCTGACATCGATCTCCTTCCTCTTTTTTTTGTCTGCATGACGTTGGGTGCGCTTGCGCCCAAGCTGGATGGCCGATTTCATGCGCAAGGGCTCTGCCGGCGAGGTGGGCAATTTCGTGTGGCTCCGGGGCCACGCGGTACCGCGCGAAGTCTTCGAGCAGCGGGACTTCCGTTGGCGATGCGACAGCGCACCCGAGAACTGGAGATCGGCGAACCGCCTGCCAAGAAATTGGACACCGCAGGCCATGGTCAATCAGCGCTTCGACTACAGATTCTACGACGACGCTCTGCCGCTCGACTGGCAGTTTGATGTATCGTTCGCCCGATACGGACGTGAACTGGCATATTGCCGTGCGTTGGCAGCTGCCCAAGCGACGATCGGTTTCTTCGACGATGCGGAGCAGTTCGATCGTCGCTGCTTGTTTGCGAAGGCATCGCTGATCCACCCAACGCATTGGCCCTTCTATGACAACCCCCAGGGCGATCATGTCGACGGTCGTCACAAATATATGCCTGAATCATGGCGTCGGTGGGAACGTTCATCACGACACCGGTTTGGCGTGTTCGCCGCTGTGCAGCATCGAGAGATTTTTGGTCTGCGACCGGAGGTTGTGAGGCAACGATGGCCGCGGGTCCCGAGAGGTTGGGAGAGGTTGGAGGTTCCTCTATGGGTGCCGGTCGGCACGCCACCTGTCGTGACGTATTTGGGAATCGACTTGGCAGTTGCAAGCCTTGACGATTGCCTCGGGAAAATTTTCTACACAGAGTTTGCTTGGCTCGCGGCAACGGAGGCCATCCATGTAGCCCGACAAGGCCGTTTCCCTCGTTTTTCCCCTTCCTTAATTGCGGCAATACGCAGAGTTGGCGTTGATGCCATTTGTTTTGGTCACGATGACCACATGGTCGAGTTAGAAGCACTCCTTCACGAAATGGAAGTCATCCGATGGGACCGCGTGTGGCGGTGTAACGGAAAGGTTCCGAAGTATAACCATTACGGTACCCCGGTGTATGACTCGGGTGATTATGTCGAGTTCGACTCGCAACGATGGGCAACACAAATGGCGGATGCGATGTACATCCAAGAAGATTTTGACGGACGTCCATGCGAACCAATGCCATCTACAGGCGTGTTGCATACGGGTTTTCTTAACCACTGCATGCCAAATCTGGTCCTGGCACCATGGGAGTGCGTTCGTGAGGATGCGGGTAGTAACAGCAGACGGGAGAGAAAGAATGGCCGGGGTGTGGGACATCACAACAGGACAGCACCGGCGTCGGTTGAAGCACGCGAACCGTCCTCATCGACTCCTCTGGATGGCCATACTGGCACTGTAGAGAGTGGCATTTCACAGATTAGATCACTGCTCGTCGAGCGGGGCTTGCAGCCGAGGATGGCATCTGTCGGTATCGCACTGCCATCATCTGCCAGTGGTGTAGT